CCCACTTAAAGGACTTCAGGCTATGTCTACAACCAGCTGCCATCCCTCAGCCTTGGCTCCTCTTCATTTTTGCAGGGGTCCCCTGTGGTCCTTTCACCTACCGCTGCGAAGACGGGACCTGTCTGAAGAAACCCAACCCCCTGTGTGACACCACTGCAGACTGCAAGGACCTGTCCGATGAGAAGCACTGTGGTGAGGAAATGATTAGAGAAGCACTGTGGTGAGGAAATGATTAGTTGCATGTCACCCAGGCAGGTTCAGGATGACAAGCAGCTGCAGGTTGTCCCCTTTTCCCTCGCCATCCCAGAAGAAGCACCTACCCTCCCTTGTTCCACCACCTTCTCCCCACCCCAGTCCCACAGTATCAGTGCTCCTGCTCCATCCTGAGGTGGCAGGGTCAGCAGGAACGAGCCACCTCTGTACTGAGCTCATCTCCTTCAGGCGGAAGCATCCGGCCCAATAGTCCTGTCTCACAATCCAGTTTCAACCCACAGGCTTCCTGTTGGACCCCAGTGTTGGCTTATATGAAGTAATGCCATCGTACAAGGCTCCAGCCAGGAAAATCACCCATGTCTGCACGGCCACTGACAGGGAGAGAATTTATGTTTTAATTTCTCTACTTGTTTTTTTGTGGAGCCTCGGTAGGTGGTGAAAGGGAATGACTGCAAAGGTTTCCTGCTGCCCCAAAGGTGTGCCCAGGCTGCAGCTGGAGGTGGGGAGCACTGTGCAGGCGTCAGCAGGGACACACACTGGGAGGGAGTGCTCACATCTGTCTTGGGCAGTACATAAAGCATCTGCTGGCTGGGTAAGGCAAGGGATTAGAGGTCAAACTCTTCAGTCAACTCAGTAGGAAACAAAGGGAAGGCACAGTATATCATGTTCCCTTCCTTCCTTGAAGTACCTGCCGTGTCTTCTCCTCAGACTGTGGGATGCAAGCCCCTCTCAGCAGGATTGTGGGTGGTCTGAATTCTGTGGAAGGGGAATGGCCATGGCAGGCCAGCCTACAAGTTCGGGGCCGCCACATTTGTGGGGGAACACTCATTGCTGACCGCTGGGTGGTCTCAGCCGCGCACTGCTTCCAAGATGAGAGGTAAATGGAGAGGGGAGGGTCCTGGATAGAAAGATTTGCATTTCTTGCCATGTAATGCATAGTTGGAGGCTCTTCTGGCTGGTGAAAATGTCATGGGGCATCTGCACCCCTCATCTGGCACCCCTGCCATGCTTCTCCATGGCTTAGAACAGGAGGAAGGGATATGGATACATGCACTAATATTTAATGTGCGTGCAGGGGAAAAGTAGCAATGTTGGAATTCACAGAACAGCTCTGAGGGGTCAATTTCAGCACCTTTCCTTTGGCTCTGGCATGTACCCTTGCTGTCGTGGCTCCAGTCATGGAGATGGGGTGGGATAGCATTACCAGCAGAGCATGCTGTGTTGGTCCCATGCTTCTCTGCTGCATCCTACAGGCTGGCCTCCCCCTCCATATGGACCGTTTACTTGGGCAAATACTTTCAAAATGCCACCAGCCATACAGAGGTGTCCTTCAAGGTGATCCGCCTCTTCCTCCACCCTTATTATGAGGAGGACAGCCATGATTACGATGTGGCCCTGCTCCAGCTGGACCATCCTGTGATCATCTCACCTTTAATCCAGCCTATCTGCTTGCCTGCTCCTTCTCACTTCTTTGAGCCTGGACTTCATTGCTGGATCACTGGCTGGGGAGCCCTCAAGGAAGGTGGTAGGTTGAAGGTCTTGGTTGGTGGATTACTGTAGCAGTACCAAGGCAGAAGCATAGGTTCAGATGTGTAGTAGGCAGACCACGCTTCTGTTCATCCCAAACATGCTTCACTCCTTTTAATTTTGAGTAACAAACCAAAGTTACCTGTTGAGTGTCATGAAACCTCATTTGGAGAGGCAGGCTTGAGAATCTGGTAATCTGTATGAGAACAGCATCTGGTTCTGCATTCAAAGACTAGAATAGTCCTTCAGGTCAGCTTAGTGCCTTTACCCACTCACACACTTGCTCCTGCTGCTTCCTGAGTGGAAACACTCAGGAGACTATATAGACCTGGACACTCCTGGTTTGCATAGTTAGACAGAAAAGCTTAACATCCATTTCAATGAGAAACAACTTCAGGACTCTTGGGAACCCAGAGGTTTCCCCAAACCAGAATCCCCCTTGTTCCAAAAGCTGAAGTGCCCACAAAATATTTCTGTAAGGAAAGGCTTGAAAGGGAATTTTGCTCCTTCTGTGAAGTGCACTACTGAAGGTCAGAGATTGTGATGCCAGTGGAGAGCAGAATAGAAATTACAATGGCAGGTTTCAGCATGCAGCAAGATAGGCGTAGGCTGGGGAATCGTGGTAAACAGGAGGAAGTTCCACCATAACTCACCTGCACTGCTTTTGGTGTTCCACCTTTCAGGGCACATCAGCAATGTTCTACAGAAGGTGGGCGTGCAGCTTATCCAGCAGAACATCTGCAGTGAGGCCTATCACTACATGATTTCTCCCAGGATGTTGTGTGCTGGCTACTACAAGGGCAAGAAAGATGCCTGCCAGGTGACAGAGGAGTTGTGGGATCAGGGTTGACTGCCAGAGGTGGAGTGTGTCTCTAGTCTCACAAATGCAATCCACAGCCTGAAATGGGGGTTAAAAGACCATATGATATCCCTTCCCCAACACTTCCTCTGATCTAAGTGGCTAACGACAGCTCTCAGGGCCGCTTCTTCCCTTATACAGTATCCAAATAGAGTTAAACATATCCTTTTCTCATTTCAGCCCACTCTCCACTCTTAACCAGCCACTTTCAAGTCAGGTGTCTACATTAGTCTCTTGCAGCCTCAGCCTCTTTAGCACCTGTCACACACAGTAACCTGTCTGTTCCTTCACTACTATCAATCTCCAGGAATTCTCTCCCATCCCTCCCAGTATCCAGTTAAATTCCACCAGCTTCCTTGCTTGCCACATATTTGGAAATGCCATATGGAGCAGAAGGAAACAGTAGAGCAATCAGCTTCTTGGGATGTGGCTAAGGGGGAGGAATTTGCATGATGAAGGAATGAATGAGTAAGGTGTTTGCACTGGAGACTGTTTTTGACATCTGCCTAAGGTACAAGGAATGTGGTAGATGTTCCAGGCATGAGCTGAGGGGATACAAGAATCTGCATATAGAGGGACTCAATGACAGTGTAATCACGCAGCAGGAGAAGCTGGTGGATCACCATCACCACATTTTACTTTTTTTTTTTTCTCTAGGGTGATTCTGGAGGTCCGCTGGCCTGCAAAGAACCCAGTGGTAGATGGTTTCTGGCTGGTTTGGTCAGCTGGGGAATGGAATGCGCACATTCAAATCACTATGGAGTATACACCAGGATCACTCAAGTGCTGGGCTGGATAAACCAAACCATGAGCTGAGAAAAGTGCATCTTTATCTTCTCCCCATCACACCTACACTCACATGGCACTCATTTCTGATCTTGCTCACTTGCCTCTCAGAGAGTGTGGGATGTTGTCAGACCCAGGATGCTCTTCTGAATAGGGTAAGAAAAGGCTGCCGTGGGGATTGTGGAGAAAAGCAAGCAGACCCTCTTCCCTATCAGTGCTTCACAGGGAGCATCCCAAGGGGTTTTTAGGCCATCTATCCAAAAGAGGGGGGAAGGGAAGAGGCGGAGGAGGAGTTGGGGGTAATGACATGACACACAGCAATAGTCCTAAGTTGATGGTTTCTGAGAAGAGGAATAAAGGGAGTTGAACTTTTCATGAACCATGTGATTCAGCTACAGTCTTATGCTGGAACATTTGCTGAAAGAAAATGTGACTGATGTAGTTAGAGATTCCAGTAACTGTGAAATCAATCTGCCTCCCTCTTCCTTCCTGCTGCTTATCCTTCATCCCCCTTCCCCTCCCATCACTCCTCCTCTTCCATCTCCCTAATTGCTTCTTTTCTTAGCTGGCGTGTGCTGTTCAGTGTGCTGTTCAGCTCAGCCAGGCAACTCTTCACGTCTCACTGACTCCCAGGCACAAGTCCAGCATTGCACCCCCAAGCACGTGTCCTGCCTTCCTGCTGGAGCAGCACCCAGCCTCCACTGCTGTACTTCCCTCAGTAAAAACACTGGGGCAGCCTCCCATCCCCTTCCCTCAGCCCTTCTAAATACTATTAACATAAGGGTGTCTCAACTGCTTCCATCTCCTATCTCAGGTAATGCTGGAAGTGAAAGAGAAGGCTTCAGGGCACAGTGCTTGAAGTGCAACTGCTATGGGTTTGGTTTTTTTACTAAAGATATACACGTGTGTGTGCGTGTGTGTATGGATATATACACAACAGACTGCTCACTGGAATTAGAAATAAAATTAATTTGAGGATTTTTTTGGCTCTAGTTTGCCTCACTTTGTTAAAACCTATCTTGGGGTTTGTATGTTTTGGACCAAACTCCAGTCCTGGCACTGGCAACTGGCGTAAGTTTCCACACCCCTGCCCACCCCCTCACCCTAGGTGTCCCTAGCACAATGGGGTCCATCCTTTAGCTAGGCAGGTAGTCCTCACTTATTGTTATGATTTAGGGATGCAGATACCAATAAGCAAACCTGCTCTGTAGCCCAGCTGCCTACAGTGGGGATGCAGCACAGATGCAGTGGGAAGTACCTCCAGCCCCCAGAAGACAGGCACAGCACAAGCAGCTTCTGGTGGCTCCAGATGATGAATCCAAACTCTTTTTCTCCAACTCCCATCCCCTTCTACCAGCAACGAATTCTTGCCACTTGAAATGAGAGGCAGCAAGGAGGAACAAACAGTGAATTTTATTCAGGAGTTTTCAGACACAGCAGTGAAGCAAACGCCCCGCTCCCCAAAACAGGGATCTCCTGGTGCTGGCTGACACATCAGGTACCTGGGCAGCACACCTGTCTCTTCCTCACCCCACTGACACAGGGCTGCTCGGGGGGACACGGAGGGAAGCACCAAGGAGCATGATACCCAGCACAGGGACACCCCTGGGCAATGCGGGTGGCCCAGAAAAAGACTGTGGCTCTGTATTTACCCTCTGGCCACAAGCCCAGACCAACTGCCTGCAACAGCAAAAGGGCAAGAACTGGTCCTTCTGCAGTTGTCACCACCTCGGGTTCCCATTTGCATCCAAGGTGCTCAGGAAGGGACCGCAGGCTGCAGTGGCTGATTGCTGATGTCCCCACCAGGGGCCACTGTGACACTAAGGAAAGCCAAACTGCCAGGCATAGGAGGGGGCCATGGGCTCCAGCTCCTACAGCAGCCCAGGGCCTCCATGGAGCATCTGCCCTTCTCCAGGGCTGGAGGCTCAGGCCTCTGAGGTGAGTTTGTAAAAAAAAAAATGGCTGCACGTGAAGAGTGAAGGGGGCTGCAGGGCATCACTGTGGGGCAAGGGGCTGCCATACACTGCAGTACAAAAATAAAGATATAAACAAGAAATGAAAAGGCTGGAGTGTTGGGATCACATCCTCAGATCTCTGGCTTGTAACAGCTATAGAAGGAGAGAGAAAGAGAAATAAAATCAATGATAGGGAAAAGAGCAAATGAGCATGGAGGGGAGAGTGAGAAACAAAAAAAAGGAAATGACAGAGGAAATGGGAACAGAAGAAAAAGAAGTGTGGAGTGAAGGTGGAAAAACAGAGCAAAAGGAAGCAAAAGTCCATGCGATTAACATACACTGACTTTTAAAATAATAACACACAGGTCCCACAACCACAGACAAGGAGGCTCTCAAAGAGAGGGAGAGAGAAATGTCAGCCAGCTAGCGAGTGCCTGGAACCAGGACAGATAAAGAGTGGCACTGAGCATCTTCAGTTTAACTAAAGCCCCACAGATTTGCAGTATGGAGAGGAATCCTCCTTCTGAAGGTTTCCATACCCAGTCCCACTCATGTCAGCCAGACAGCCTTCCTAGTTAGCAGGAGGCAGAGTAGAGAGGCTCATTTTGTATGCAGCTGTGAGAACATCTGGAGGGGGGACCAGTCATTTTGCCTCTGCCTTTACTGCCCTTTCCCACTGTGCTCACACACTGGCAGGGCCAGTGGGGGAAAAGCCCAGGGAAGTGGGAGCAGGGAGGGAAAAATAACAGGCTGCCTTCTGCAAACTGCTCTCAGGCTGGCAGAAAAAAGAGCTGCGGACGGCAGTCTGGAGGAGCGATCTGGCATGCGTGTCACGGAGACACGTGGCAAAACTCCCCCCCTTCCCCAAACCACCCCTGCCTGCTTTGCATTCATTTCCAACCCTCTCGCAGCTGCACTCTCCTTTCTGCTGCCAGAGCCTCTGGTCCAGAGCCATAGGATCTGCTTGGCAAGTAAAAGCACACATAGGATGGGAATAGGTAGAGCCACCTTAGGGATGAGTCAACCTCCCCTCCCTCCTTCCCCTCCCCAAGCTCTACAAACCAGGGCCATACCCACAAGAGGGAAGTGAGTCACTCATGCAGAGCTCAGGCTGGCAGGAGCTGGGAGTGCAGACAGGTAACATACCTGCAGAGGAGGAAAAGTGAGGAGCAGAGAGAGACAGGGCCCTGGGCAGAGACCACTCTGAGCCCTGGGGGACAAAGAGAGCAGAGGGAAGGATGCTGGAGGCTGGCGAGTGGGGCAATGTGGGAGGTAGATGACAGTGCTGGGATGGACACGGAGGGGAGCAGAAGGGAGGGTCCGCAGGAAGAGAGTTTAGCGCAATCCCGAATAGATGGACAGTCTGCAAATAAAAATAAAACCGTAGATAAACCAAACAGTTTAAAATACAAAGCAGCAGCCATGGTAACAGGTCTCCCCTCTCAGCTTTATCTCCAAAGAGACTCCAACTCCTGGAGAGGACAGCCCCCACACCCCACACCTGCTCTAGTCCTTCCCTGCTGCTAGCTGTGAGCTCTCACCAGAAAGGTGGACGGGTCTATGCCTGGAGGGGTATTTTTATCATTTTCCTCAAGGATTTGCTGCACCTTTCTCCTCTGCTTCTGCTTCTGCCTCTGCCTCTGCCTCCTCCTCCACCTCCTGCTCTTCCTCCTCCAGGTCCTCCTCTGTGCTCTGTGGCCCAGCATGCAGGACAAAAGGAAGAAAGAGTGGAGATACTTGCAAGATGACCCATGGCAGTTCTTTCTGACACACAAGGGAATAAAGCAATTGTCATGACACTGGAATAAAAAGGGACCTTTCCCCACGGCCATGACAATTCTGGGTCAGGGAGCAGAGAGACTTTTTTTCCTCTGGAGCATCACATCAGGGGTATCTAACCCACTTACAAGTGCTGTGACCCCACTGCCCAACAACTGCCATCAGTTGCTAGTGTTCCTTCCTGTATCCTGGGTGTCTGCAGGATGTCATGCACTGCCACACATTTCTGTCCTTCCCTCAAGAGGGGAGCAGGAGATATTGGCCCCTTAGGCTAAGACTCAGAAAAAGGAAAGAGAATGCCGCAAAACCTTCAGGGAAACAATGCCCTAAAGGCAGTTACACACACAGCATGGACATGAGGAGGCATGAGGGGGATGTTAGAGTAGCATGAGAAGTGCCAGGATCACTTGCTAAAGCCATTTGCCACATACAGCCAGATACCACCTCTCCAACACGCACACTCCTCCTTTTGGGCAATGAGTGTAATGCCATGGTGCTGAACACCAGGATAGGCCCCTATTTCACCACTGAGGTGTCCCATGGTCACAGGTGAGAGAGGCAAGAGAGAGGGAGCAAACAAGAGTGAAGGATCTCATAGGCAAGGGGAGCAGCGCCATAGCAAAGTTGATCTCACCTTGGCTTTGTGGCTCGGCTCAGAGCTCAGGGCACTGGGGGAGTTGTACAACTCTTTGGAGACCACACACAAGAACTCTGTCTGATCCTCATTCCCATAATTATAGGACGAGCCAATGTTCACAAGCTAAAAAAGATGAGAGCAAGAATCACAAGGACATGTTCCTGCAAACATCTGGTGAGCAAGGCAGAAAGCCCACCATGCAGCATGGAGTCCAGTCCATACCCACAGTGGAAAGTCCTTATAACTAAGCTGAGGAGACAGCACAGAGAACCAGAAGTTAGCCAGGATTCAAAACAGTTTGACCTCACACAGTATCCTCTAAATCTCTACAAAAAGGGCAAGAGAGAGCCAGTGTGATGGCTCGAGCAATGACTTACCCAATATTCTCAGAGACGGAAGGAGTCTTACCTGGGGACTGTATGATAACCATGATCTTTTCCCAAAAGGCAACTCCTTCCCACCCTGCTCCACCTTATCCATACCTGTTCAAAGCGCCATCCATCTGACATAGTGGAAACCATCTGAGTGAGCTCCTCTTCCTGGCACTGTAGCACACGGTAGACATGCTTAGGAGGCACCTGACAGCAAAATTGAAGAGCACGTTGACAATGGCCAGATGCTAAGGGCTGTTGCCCTCCTGCAGAATGAAGTGGTAGTACCCCTCCTGGACAGACCTGTCCTCTCCCCATGTCCCAGGTGAAAGGAGAGTGAAAACCACAACCCAGATTTCTACTGTGCTGTCATGAGGAGCAAGAGCAACTCTTCTGGAAAGGAGGGATCGAGCAGAATGCTTCTCGCATTGTCCTCAGAAGATACTGGACTCTTTTGATAGAAAGTTTGCACTTGTCATTACAAAATCAGTTTTGCAAATGCCACAAATGCTGATGGGGGTTTGCAACACTAAGTAACTGTGTTGCTAGAGACTCACAACCTGAGGCAGATGTGATGAAAAGTGAGATAGCAGCCAATGCTCCTTCAAAGACAGATTTTCAAAGGTTACTAGTCAAGACAAGGTGTGATTTTGCCACAGGATTGATTCCTGGTGACTCACTGTCTGCATTTAACTCTTTCATAGACATCTCTTCACCTGTTCCCTTCAGGTTTCTCTACAGGTATCCCCGTGCTTTTCACTGTGATTACACTCCCAAGACTCCCCACACCAGAGCCCTCCTCTCCATGACACCTTTGCTCTCCTCACATTCTTCTTTATTCCGCAGCAATCAGCTTCCTTTTCCAAACATTAGAGGAGCTGATTTAGTTTCAGGGCCTACATCCAGCACTACTGGGGATGCAAAACAAGCCTGTAACTAATTTATTGTAATTAAGTTGCTGGTAGCTTGTCCCATGCAAGATTCTGATGTGTAGGGGCCAGCACATAATCTCTAATTAGTTGCTCCTTGCTCCTTCTCCCAAGTCTGCTCTCCCTCTAGACTCATCTCTCCCTTTTTACATTCCCTGCTTTGCCCACCCCACTCTACCTTGCCATACCTGAGTGACTGTGTAGTCCTTCTCCTCCATTCGATCCTTGATTATTCGGATCAAAGGACCAATGTTATAGAACTCAGCTTCTTCTAAGATCCCTGAGAAAGAAAGACAAAAGGATCACAAAGACAGAAAGTTAATCATCCATGTCCTTTTTTTTTGACTTGCTAAAGATCAATACTGAGCTTCCCAAGGTTCATAGGGAGAAATTACACAGCAGCTTCACTTTTTAACAGGTTTCCACTGCTTGAAACTCTTACTGCAGAGAACTGAATCTTGGTTCTCTGCATCGTGTTTCTAATGCTCACCCCAATTTCCTTGCGCTGCCTGCTACTACAGAAACGGGCACTGTCCATGAAGGCCTGTGCTAAGGACTGCTAAAATCTTTCCCAGGTAACTGGACAAGGAGAACAAATGTAGGCTCCAGCCTCTCTCAATGACCACTAACTATCACCTTGCTCAAGCTTTCTTCTTAAGACAGAGAACCATAACTTGTGGTTCTGACAAGTCACCAAAAGACCCTGGGAAAGGCTGGCTTACCTCCTGAGACACTTGGAGTTACAGCCTGTGGCTTTAGATGATCTTTGGCTCTCTTCCCTGTGCTTCACCTCAAAGCAGGTAAACAGAGAAGTGTTTTGGGTTTTTTCTCTATGGTGTCTGCATCCATCACCTCTCCTAAGGCTCACCTCTTAGCTAGCAGGCCTTCAGGGAAAGAGAGGTGGTCCCCAGAGGGTCAGGGAGGGAAAGATGGGTAGGAGCCAACATTCTCATGTCCCCAGGACAGTAGTCAGATAATGCAGGTGGAGACTGATCCTTCACTACCTGACACACTCAGACTTCTTTTGAGTCCCTCATTCAGCACTGAATAGTCTAATGGGTTAGTTTTATGCCAGCTTGAGTGTCTGTACCAGGAACAAAAGGAAATGCTAAGCTATGAACTGGACTCCTGTTTATATTTTAGATTTGATATTAAAACCTGTGGATGAACTCTGTTGGATGTCAGGTTTACAAAAAATGTCAAGTAAGAAATATCTCAGAATTGTGCTCATTACAATCCTGTACCATTACTTAGATATATTTTTGGAATAATAACTGATGATTCTGAAGAAAACTTTCCTTGCTTTAGGTAAAAATGTGTAAGAGAGAGGCAAGAAGACTAATGAACATGTAGAAACTGTGCTTGGCAAGGGCTAGACAGAACAGCCTGTCTTTGGAATTGGCTCCTTATTAGACTCTAGCATCCAAAAAATAACAAGGCATTGGAGACTGCTAGCTGGTAATACTGTGATATTACCGAGTTATCCTACTGGACCCACCGTCACCCTCAAATGAGGGATTGCTTTGACTGGGTTGCTTAAATGGAACTGCTGCAGTCCACAACTCATCAGAGCACAAGCAGCGTAATTGCATATCACTGATTAATGATGGTCTTTATTACAGTCAGTAGAAGAGATGAGCTTGGTTTTGTTTGGTCTTCTGGGTTTTCATTCCTAATTGGAAACACTTAGTCATTAACAGAAAATTCAGTCACAGAACCTGGTTAAAAGTGGATCTGGAACAAGTAAAAAATGGTTTATTGAGGCTCTGAGATATTGCCTACTTATGTCTTAGTGACATCTCTGCTGGACAAACAGTCGTGCAGTCACAACACTTGTGGCCTGCCTTCCTCACCCACTCCCCTTTAGTAAAGGAGACATAAGTATGTTTCCCAAGAGCTGCAGGAACAGCTCTCTGAAATCCTCCCACATAAATCTCCAAAAGGAGAACAAGAGACAACATGGTTGACAAGTCCTTCTGTGCCCTGGCTACAGCAACAATATTAAGCATGAGGTTTCTAAGCTCTAAGACTCACCCTCTTCAGCCATATCTTTATCCAGGACCAGCTTCCCATGACGGAGGAAATTCAGGATGGGTCCAAAGTAAGTGGGGTCCCGGTCTATTAGGTATGCACCAGTCTCATCCTAGCAGCAGAGATAAACCACAGGAAGAAAATACCCAGGGGAAATTTGTAACCAACCCTTGAATGCCCTAGACTGTAGGAAAATAAAAACCTAAGCAAAAATGTCCACTATTTCTAAGATTCCTTGAAAATCAGGGGCACCTGAGAGTCCCTAGCCAACTTGGATTTTAACTCCTGTATTGATCTGCTTAGCACGCCCACTTCAGCATGGATCAAACCAGTTTAAAAAGCCCAAAAAATAGGCCTCAGTCTCCTTGTGCAACTGTGCATACAGGCCTGGCATGAGAGAGCAGAGATCCCCTAACAGCAGACAAGGCTGAGTCAGGCAGACACAGCTGAGAAGTAGTCCTAGGATGTGGAGTGACAGAGAAGCAGGAGAGCAGGAATAGAGGGGAGATGGCCTCTCTTTTCCCCAGCTCCGGAAGACAGGTGCCAGGCTACAACATAGCAAGGTGCTGGGATCTAGCAAGGGGAAATCTCTCCTGGGAAGAAGAGCAGGCATTCCTCACTCAGTTGCTCCTGCATCTGTCGGGGTCTAGCTCCATCCCTGCATCCCTCCCGCCCTCCCCATGCTCGGTGGGGCACGGTGCGGGAGGCAACCCAGCTGCCTTACCCGGTCCGACTGCAGCTCCTCGCCCTGGCACAAGCGACAGAGGAAAGATTTCTGCTCCCGACACAGAGTCTGCCTGGTGGTGAGGAAGACGGTGCCCCCCACATTGAGCCTCACCCACTTGGCCTGGGTGCCAGCGGGTGGCGGGATGTCCCAGGTGCAGCGTAGCCCCACGGCGCCCTGCATCTCCTCCCTGCCCTCCATCCTCATCCTCACCCCCACCTCCCCCACGGCGTGCAGGGACTGCCGCAGGTGCTGCCTGTCGGAGAATGCCGGGATCTGTAGTTTATCTGCCTCTCCCTCCGCAGCAGCCGTGTTTCTTGGGGAACAGGATCTTCCCTGTGACCACCAAGGGAGTCCTGAGAGGAGGAATGATGCTCTATGGTGGAGGATATCACTGCGGCTATTAGGAGTAGGCAAAACCACAACTCCACAACGCTGACACCTCCTGGCTTTTCCTCTGTTCCCGTTTTCACAAGTCAAAGGCAGGCCAGCACTCCGGAGGTGCAGAGTGTTATGCAAAAATCGTCGGCATTTATTTCCATAGACATCCTCTTTGGCTCATTAAAAGGTTCTGGGAAATGTAGTTTCACAGGGACATGCACAAAAGGGTGATGGGAACTGTAGTTTTCCCAGCTCGCTGTTCCTGCAATTAGGACGCTGTAACGAGGTGGGCTGCACTGCACTACATGATCCCGGCCCTGCGGCTGGTATTCTGTCTGCTTCCAGTGCTGGGGCTTGTCTGCAAGCTTCCCTGGAGACAGGAAGAACAACCTGCTTCCTGGCAGTCAGCAAATTAAGCTCCTTGGTGTTGTGCTTCACAGCATTCCCTTCAGGAGATCCATTACCCCAGGTTCACAGCTCAGTGCTGCATCAGTCGCCATGCTTTCTTGCAGCAAGATACGCAGTTGCCTTTTTGCTAATATATGTAGGGACATTTCTGGGAACCGCATCCTGGATCTGCATGAAGTGCTGGCAGGGGTCAGGAATCATTTTCCTTCCAGCCCAGAAAAGTCACTGATTCAGCAAACTTCCCCCACTGTGCTGCCCTACCAGCACAAACCATGCTAGGCAGAGACCCCCCCTGCATCCTTCTCCTGTGCTCCTGCCATTCCTGTGTCTGGGCAACAGAGAGCTCAGATTCTAACTTAGCTCTGTGTGGAGTTTTACCTCTGCCCCAGGCACATATCACCCGCTGAGACCGATGTGCCAATCCCACGGTACAGAATCCAGCCCTGCCTCTGTTACTCGCTCCTGCCAGGCTGAGCAGGGCACTCAGCAGCCTGTGCCCCATGGGACTCTGTTCAAACACATTCCTGGGCACGGACACAACTTGAAAAAGCTCCCTCTCTGGCAGCTCTGCTTTCCCCACTCCCATCTAAGCACAGCCGTGCTTGCCAGCAGCTTGAGCACACTAAGAATGGAAAGGAAAGGCCAGTGTTTCACCTCTATGTGGCCCAAAACCTTCCTTCGTCTAAGTAACTTCCCAGCTCTTCTTTGCCAGGCAATGCAGCACTGAAGAAACGCTGTGGTGCCCCACAAACACTTTATTGTTCTTGCATCTAAAACTTCGTGTCTTTTGGGGGAGGGATTATTGAGGGAAGAGGCTGTGTAAAGAGAAACATTATGTTTTACTCTTACATTCCTTTTCTTCTTGCCCTTCCCTCTTCTTTTACTTGCAAATTACTCCCTTTTATTACTACAGGGTATGAAGGCAGTGCCACCCTTCCCTTAAATTATCCAGGATTTCCTTCACAAAGACTGTGTGTGTACTTTGCTCCTTCCGTGAGGAGTGCAAAGAGGAGGAGAGAGATTGTAACATGGAAAAGGTTTTAAGATTGTTGACCTTCAGCTAATTTAAGCACAGGAACAATTCAGCTGCTTCAGGGTGTAAATTCAAATAATTTGGAACCAGCACTAGAGTGATGAATAACAGAGAGAGGATGAAAAAATATTTTTTCCCACCTATATGGGGCAGACTCTGGCCAAAACTAGTGCCCAGACCTCGGGCCAGTCTCCACTGAGCAATATTGTGCATCAAAGATTCTCAGACTAACACTGACCTGAGCTGAAACATCACACAGTGCAACACAGCTCCGGGCTGTCAGACTGCTGCTCTCCTAATTCTGGCTGCAAGTCAAACCTTGGCAAATTGGAGACCTCTGCCCTGGAATCCAGGACCCTGTCTGTAGTGGCTGCAACTCCAGCACAGAATTAGGGTGAGGTCTGTGGCTCTCCGATATGAATGCAGCAGTTGGGTAGCAGCCTACAGCCCCTTATCTCCCCCTCCAAGAAATCTGCCCTGCCTTAATTTTCTTCCCTCTTTTACCAACGGTTCACCCTCCTCTTTTCCTCCTCTCACAGCCCCTCAGCCTCTTGCTCCTTTTTGGGTCCATCTTTTGCTCTCAACACCTTTTTCTCCATCCTCTCCCATGACAATGCTGCTCATGAGTCCAGGATGGTCTGTATTAAGGGCACAGTTTCTTCCATCAAAACCAGCCTCCATCTGTGGTTGGCACCTCAAGTCTACTCCACGGCTATGGGTTGAGCAGTTAATTGGTAAATTTAAAGAGGTATATTGTGAGTAAGGAAAGATGTCAATGAACACCACTTCCTCTCTTCTGCAACATACAGCACAAAATTTATTGGAAACCCACCAGGGCAGGGATTTCCCCATAGTATGTGAAAGTCCTCTTGGGAGAAGCCAGTCTGTGGTGAGTTACCAACTGAAATGCTCCAATGAGTTGGTGGTGTGGGCTAAATACAGACCTGATTGCACATCATCACCAGACATAGTTCTGAGATGCAACTAGCGTGCCCTTGTTAAGGTCCATTAAAATCAAGCAATAGAACACAGGAGAGATAAGTTTAAATTATCAGTGGAGTTCGATCAAAGGTTGGACTCAATGATCTTGGAGGTCTTTTCCAACCTTAATGTTTTACGATTCTATGGCTGTTCCTCCTGCTTTGATGATAACTACATATAAAACACATCACAGAAACAGAGAGAAAAAGAGCAAGCAAGAGCTTACATGGGGCTGTGTGATTGTGTAACTCTGTACAGCCCTGCTAAGTATCCAGTGAAATCACAGGGACTATTGCACAGACAGACTGGGAGCAGGAAAAACTTGACAGCCATTGGATAGTGGACTGAACAACAACAGAAGAGAACAGAGCGGGGGGGGGGGGTAAACTGAGAGTTTCTTGGTTCAGTAGCCAGCAGGCTTACAGAGCAATCCTGCAGAAAGCTACACACACTTCAGCCCTCTGTACTTCCAATGGAGCCTGACAAGTCAGCTGTGTACATGGTATATGATGCACCACTGACATTGTGGAGCTGCTCTTAGGGAATCGTTGTATTGTGGAGCAGCAGTGGGAGCAGGGATCACCGCGTGTTGGCACAGACAGTGTCACCACTCTGACAGGCTGGGAACACACATCTGGGATTATGTGGCATGAGGAACCAAACAAGAAATCAGGAAGAACTAGTCAACACATCCATGTAAGATTGGTGCCACTCTCTTTTCTAAAGGAAGTGGAGAAGGGAGGACAAGTAATGCTCTGACACTTTGCCATTGAGCCAACATGAACGGGCAAAGAAAACTCCCTACACTGGACTTGGGAGGTGGGAGGAACACAGTTCACTTGCAGGCAGCAGAGTCTTGCTCAACAGCTAGCTGAGCCAGGCATGTTGGAGCAGGAAGAGAAAGGCTCCATGGCACGCAGGCGAGCTAATCTGTCTCCAGCTCCTTGTGCTGAATGAGGTCTGTGAGTAATGTGCCTTTGGTGTGTAAAGTCTGTGTGTATATGGGCATCACTCAGTATGTTTGCTGGAAGAGTGCCGGGAGAAGGAGAGAGAATGGTCATGTAATACCCGGTTGCAAGCTGGGACCAGGAGAAATGGGAGGAACATGAAAAATCCCTGTATGTAACAGCAATTACCATTGCTCAAGCAGTGGTTGGGACAGTGGTGCTGTAGAAGAAGGGTTGCTTTAGAATCTGGAAAAGTTTGCAAGGGAACAAAAAGTTTACTGGGAAATGAAGTGTGAAATAATGCAACCTGACTGCTAGGCAGCAGTAGGGAAGGGAGAGGAAGGTAGGTGACAAAGAAGACATGAGGAACAGGGGACTGTGGGATTAGTTTTGACCGCACCAGACTGTTTTCACAGAGTCCAAAACTCCTTCAGGACAAAAGTATTGCAGATAGTAAAATTTACCAATAAACCAATAAGGAGTTTAGACGGTGGCCTGGAATTCTCAAATTTGTATAGAGAGCTGTAAAAACTCCAGTCTCAAGTTAGCCACAGGTCAAGTGTGACCTTCCTCTTACATCATGGCTGTCTTTTAGGCTACTTTTTGGCCACCATGAGCCCTATTCCACCAAAGATACGCTATTCCCATTTCCCTGTGGAAAATTTGCCACAGGAAAGTAATGAACATTAGTGATTTGCATTATACTGACTTCTCCCCAGTTTTCAGTTCCCATAGGAAACCCACCCACTGAGCCAGGAACATAAAGATCTGCAGAACATTTATAGTCCTGGTGCAAGTCCCCTCAGCTGTTCCATATGTCCAGTAGCATCTGTTATGGCTCAAAATAGGTTTTTGCAGTCTCCAGGCTTTGAAAACATTGTCTCGGTCTTCACAACATTCCCAGTGCTTTGACTGCATCACAAGAACAGACCTCAGCTAAAGGGAGGGAAAACATCAGAAGACACCCTTGGATAGATTTTTGATACATGATGTAACAGGGCATACCCCAGAAAGACAAAGTATCTTGCTGTGGGAAAGAAGTTCTCAACTTCTGCTCTGTGAGGAAATCAAGGCAAAGCTATGCATCTGGTAAAAGATTTGCCAAAAGCTGGGAAACTGAAGAATCATTGAGACTATGTAGCGCAAAATTCAGCCTGGAGAAGAGCAGTTGAGTATTGCCAACCTTGGCACACATACCAGAGAGGGGGAAGGGCCCTGCTAGATGTCATCCAGCCACACAGTCAAAATGTAGAGCAAGGGGAGAGGGAAACTTTTCATTTAGTTTGTGATCTCCAGGTGGATGGCTGGCCTGTGCCACACACCTCCCTGAAACACATAGGACAGAGAAAAGCAGCTCAGTCTCAAGAGGAAGCAGAGATCCCCACTGATCCCAAGGACTTCTGGGTCAGTGGGAAAAAAGAAACATAGTGCTTAAGCTGCATTGCCAAACATTCTGGAAGGACAAGAGCACAAGCCAGCTCCCTCCATCCATTGCAAATGATTAACAAAGTATGAAACAATATGTCCATTTTCTCTAATAACTAAAATTTCCTGGAGAAACAGAGCAGGCACAGCACTCCAGTTTGTATTTAGGAGCCTGGCCACATATTCACAAAATCAGCCTCACTGCATACTAAAGGGTCACTTGTTTCATACCCCTGTTCACTCTGTATACTCAGTACTTGCTGTAATGCATGCCCCAAGTCTCTGAAGAGCGGGGTTTTTAGGCTGGCTGCAAGCAGGGAAATTGCATGCTTTCAGTCACTGGGTAAAAAGAAGGGTCAGGCCACATGTGTGAGTGGGGAGGACAGAGGAAGGAGTAAACTGGACAGTGAAACTCCAGCTCCCCAGATGGTGAGCAGAAATAGAGCTCATGTGCACGCAAACCAGGAAGAAGCCAGAGCTGCAGCCAACAGAGACCAAACGAAATGCAAAGAATAAACACTCAGCAAAAGGGAAGAATCCAATTCTTGCATCACTGGCTAGGAGGGTTTCCTGCAAATCTCTGACAATAAGCATCCACTGCATCCCCTAGAAAGGACAACCCTGTCATCTGTAGATATCTACATGTACCTGTTGCTGCAAGCCCAAGAGCACAGAACTTGTCTCATTAATTTCTAAATTACCAGTGAGATGCAGAAGAGATGCAGGCTTTTTTGTGGGAGGGTTCTATGGTTTTTTGTGTGTGTTTTGTTTGCTTGTTTGTTTGTTTTGTAGAGGAGAAGATCCTAGAAAGAACAAATTCTTGAACGTTATCAGGGATACCAGGTGTGCTTTCAACTTTCAGATATAAAAGACAATGGTCTTGGGGAAAAGCAGGCGCCACTGTGGGCTATTCCTCTGTAGGTCTCAGTTCTTCTAAGTTTTTAGAGGAAGGTTACATGTTAAGTCTCATGGAAAGAATGAAAACACCCATGCAGTCCATTTTCCACCATATGAGGTGACATCCAGTCTTTGAAGCAGAGAACTGTAACTGACTAATGTTGACTTTCAGGCCAAAAAGCAAATGGACAAGGACTGAAAGGAGGAACACAGTGCAAAGACCCAAAAGAGAGGCATGACACTGTCTTTCCTGGATAAATGACCTTGTTGAGGGTAAGAGGTGTAGTTCTACTCACGCAGAGAAGAAAACACTGCATTTGAATCATCTAGGCAAAGTGATCCCAAAAAAGCTGAGTTCCTGAAAAGGAATCACCCAAACAACATTCACATAACATCCATTCAGCAGAAAGACCTTGAAACATACGTTTATTTACATTCTTTAAATCCCAGAATCTTTTCTTTTTCTCCAGGGAGATTTCAGACCATGGGGGGGGTATAAGGCTGGCTAAGTATGCATTGCAGTTAGAGTCCAAGTAAAAGAAGAAATCTAAATCGAGTGTCTAGCCTAAGTGCCAACCTGAAAGCCATATTTGCTCCTTTAACAGCCATGTCTTTCCACAAAGTTTTGAATTCAAAATGGCCATAAAGTGCATGGGTGGCTTCTAGGACAGCGGCAGAGAGCAGGATTACGAGGCATGATTATACAAGTACGACCATTCTATGAATGAACATGGTGGAACATTCTGAGTCAGGAGCTTGGCTTGACTCAATTATTTCCCCATGCTGGCAGCAGCACTTTTCCCCTTCCATCCAATAGGGCAAAACAGGCACAGAATCACAGCAAGGGCTGAGATTGGAAGTGACCTTGGGAGGATGTCTGTTTCACCCTACCTGCTCAAGCAGGGTCACCTAGAGCTGGCTGCCCAGAACTGTTGTCATCTTTATTCTCCTAAGCAGCAACAGTCGGGTAAGGAGAAAGTGCCCAAGCACCATGTGCGCATAATTGTTATCCAACATCTTCACCCCAAGACACTTAACCAGGAATGCTAAACCCCTCTTTTCCAAATCCGATTTCAAGGCAAATTACCTGCACAGCTGGGAGACGAAGCAGCTTATTTACACTGTCTTCCCCTTTCCCTCAGAAATAATATTTTCAGGCTGTGCCCGCATGTACCATTCCACCCAGGCCCCATCGTACACTGCAACATCTGGTTTGCCACAGAGGTATGCTCCCAGAACCACGTGGCAGGCAGTGACCCCAGAGCCACACGTGGCTACCACCGGCTTGGAGAGGTCCACCTTCTTCTCCTGGAACAGAGCGCGGATCTGCTCAGGGGTCTTCTCTAAGCCAGACTCTGTGAGGAAATCAGTGAAGGGGATGCTCGTCGACCCAGGGACATGACCAGGCTCAATTCCTGGAGGAAAAACAATACAGATAGGAATTAACCTCCACTGTCTGGGACAAAGCTATTGCAAAACCTGTTCTGTTTCACTGGGAGGAATATTTATTATTTAATGTATTTTGTTAAAACAAAAACAATTATTTTTGTTAAACTTTGCTTTACTAGATTACTGGGAAGGATGGCTCTAACTTTCAGGTTACCACACGGACACAACCCTATTCTGCCTCCCACATCTTTTTCCACATCCTCCACATGAGGAGAAGAGGAGCATCAGTACGTGAAGAGACCAATGAATCTTTTGAGGTGTATGGAAAGCTATGTTCCTCACTCCAGCCCCTCATGGGAAAAAAAAAATACATGGCTTCCCCACTCCTGAATTATCAAGAAGCAGCACTTGCTAGTCAAAAGGAGAGGAGGACAGGTGGACACACTGCCTCAAGTCCCATCCCATAAGGGACAACCATATTCATTACTGGAGTCAAAGAGATAGGCACCTTAAATTAAGCCCCTTTTTAAAATGCCAGTGTCTCAGAAGGCACATTACCATCTCGGGGCTCTGGCTCTACTCCTCGGAACCGTCCTGCAGCACGGGCATCTACTAGTTGGAAGCGACGGGAATCCAAGTTATCTAAGACATCCTCATACGTTTTCACCAGGGACTTGTCCAAGGAGGCGTGAAACTCGCATGGAGCTACCTGGGCTTTACCAGAGCTCAGCGCATTCCCCTCTCGCTGCCAGTTCTTCAGGCCACCATCCAGAAGGGAAACAGCTTCGTGTCCGAAGACCCGGAACATCCACCACACCCGGGGTGCTGAGAAGAGACCTTGGTCGCTGCCATCATACACAACAACGTGGGAATCATTCCCCACACCCAGCTTCCCCACATACTCGGCAAAGTCACTAGCCTTGGGCAACATGTGATCGTAAGGTGAGGTTCGGTCGCTGCACTGGTCAATGTCGAAGAAAACTGCACCAGGGATGTGTCGCTCCTCAAACTCCCTCTTCGGGTCACGCTTCATCTTCGGCAAATACCAGGAGGCATCAACGATTCTCAAGGCCAGACCAGCTTGCTGGGACTTGATGGCTTCTGAAAGCCATTTTGCAGATACCAACGCACGGTAGAGGAGTTGTTGCGACATCACTCCCGAGTCCTGGCCGAGATTAGCCAATTCCTGAACTCTGCCTGAATCCACCTGTCTGCAAAAGGTAGAAAGTCACAAATTAGAAACCAGCCTCTCAAAAAGCAAATGGACTAAGATTCATTTTGGGACCTCTGGCTGCACTGAGGTGCTGGCTAAGCCTACAATGACGGGCTTGAAGTACTCCAGCCCTGAAAAATACTTTCACAGAGCTCAGCCCAAACCCTGCCCCGAGCGGGACAGCCACGGCAATCCTGCCCTGCGCCCAGCCCACCTGCCCCCTCCACCTCCCGGGACCCCAGCCAGCGCTGACAGCCGCCCGAGGGGCGTGGGGCAGCCCCAGGGACCGAGTGTCCCGGGGCGAGGCACGGCCCCACGACCAGGAGGGCTCTGCCCGCCCCGGAGCACACCTGCAGCAGGGGCCCCGCCGCCTCCCGCTGCGAGCTCCCCGTCCCGACGGGGCCGCGGTTCCCTCCGCGCCGCCCGTACCTTCGCGCTGGGCTTCAGCGCCCACCAGCCATGGCCGCCGCCGGAGGGCGGGAGCGGGAGCGCTCCCAGCGGGCCGGTCCCGGAGCTGCCACCGCCTGCGCACCGCCCCTCGGCCGCGCCTCCCGCCCGCGGCCCGGCCGCCATTTCGTGCGCGTGTGAGGGGTGCGGGGTCCCGGCAGCGGCGCCCCCGCCTGTCCCTCGATATGGCGCGGCAGGGGCTCAGCCGGGCGCTGGTCTCCGCCGCCTGGCTGTCGGAGGCGGTGCGCGCCGGGCGGGTGGGGCCCGGCCTGCGGGTGCTGGACGCCTCCTGGTACCCCCCGAAGGAGCGAAACGCCCGTCAGGAGTTCAAAGAGAGGCACATCCCCGGGGCGTCATTCTTCGACATCGAGGAGTGCCGGGACAAGTCCTCCCCCTACGACTTCATGCTGCCCAGCGAGTCCCACTTCGCCGACTACGTGGGGCGGCTGGGTGTCAGCAATGACACCCACGTGGTGGTGTACGACGGGGACGAGGTGGGCACTTTCTACGCCCCCCGCGCCTGGTGGATGTTCCGGGCCTTTGGGCACAAGGAGGTCTCTGTGCTAAACGGTGGCTTCAAGAACTGGGTGAAGGAGGGGCACCCCGTCACCGCGGAGGTCAGCCAGCCCACCCCTGCTGTCTTCAAGGCCAGGCTAAACAGGGCCCTGGTGAAGACTTTTGAGGAGATGGTACAGAACGTGTCGTCCATAAAGTTCCAGGTGGTGGATTCCCGCCCCGAGGGCCGGTTCCGGGGGACTGAGCTGGACCAAGGTAATGGCGGTGGGAGTGGTACCTGCCCCAGAGCAGGATGAGTATCAATACTGTTCTGGGTGTAACAGCTCCTGGCAGCTGGCAAACAGATTTTCCTAGTGTACAGGCATGCCTCACCCTGACTCGTGATTTACCTTAAGGAATCCACAGTTGAGCGTTCAGGTCCCAGTGCCATCACAGAATGCTTTTGTTGCAGTTGACTATAAAGCTGCAGGAAGAAATAGGAGAAGAGGGCTGCAGTCATTTGGTTCCAAGATCCTCCATCCCACACACTGCAGAAGTTTATCAGACAGAATGCAAACAGAGGAGCTGAGAGCTCCCAGGGGTTTGTTCAGGGTCCTATCTACCACCAGCAGACACACAAAGACTATCAGTATTCATACAGGCACCTCTCACCATAATGAATGCACCAGCAAAAGCCAAGGTTTTAGGTAATACAGTAACCCAAGGGACTTTCTTCTTATCGCTCTGATTCCCAGCAAATAGATAACTTGCTTGAGCTGATCTTTGTTCTTTTGCTTAAGTAAGAAAAGCCCCAAACCTTTACCAAATGTATGGAGTGTCAGCCTCTCTCTTTTGGATGCCCCAAGTTACAGGAACAAAAATTGATTTTGTTACCTGGGTCAAACACTGGACACACAAGCAGCAGGGGTGGGAGAAATCTTGCTCAGTGGGGACAGCTGGTACAGCAACGTGCCTGGAATGAAATTCAAGTTGGTTGGTAAAGGAGGCCCTTGCTGTGTAATTTAAGCCTTGGTATATCCCAGAATAACTTCTCCAAAAGGGTGTAAAGGAAACTTTTCCTTGACTGACTGTTCAGGAGGCACTCTGGCAGTCACACTCCCACCACCAGAGACTTTAACTGCTGGAACTAAAGCCCCTTTGCAGCAGGCAGCTCTAGTGAACCAACAGGTGCCCTGCTTGACCCCTTACACACACCACACTCACACAGTCAGACCAGGTGTCCTTACCGGCTCGACCCTGGGTTTCCCTTAGCAAAGTCTCAAAAGTCTAGTTCCATAAAGCGTAGTAACATAGAAACAGCTTGAGCTGGTGCCTCCAAGGAGAGAGCCCAAACAAAGGAAACACCGGACTTTTATACCTTCACAGTCTAAGCATGACAAAGTCTTGGCTCTTCCTCCAGTGTCCTCGGTTCCTGCTGTGTCTCTGAGTGTCCGGTGCCTGGCTGGCACCACAGATCCCCATGCCCTTTGTTGTGCAAAGGGTCAGTGCCAGTTCATGGCCTCTTGCCTTGGACTTCCACCACCCAGAGCTCAACCTGCAGCTGACACTGCAGCTGCACATCAAGCCGCCTGCACTGAATGCATTCCTCAGTAAGGGAATCACAGAAACAGTTCAAAAAAAAAACAAAAAAAGAGTTTTTATAAGAAAGCACAGAAAAGCTCAGCAGCAGCTATTGAGTCTGAGCAGAGCCCAGTGCTGCCAGAGCCAGCGTGCTGTGGGCTTCTGCAATCCCCGGGCAGTGCTGCACTGCTGCCCTGCAGGTGGTTGGCCTTCGGTTCTGGCTCTTTACTTAGTGTGTGTTACTCTGCAGCCAGTCAGTGTGACACCATGTCCTGAAATATCCTGCATCCACACCTCGGGAGTGTTTGGCTGTTAATGACTCTGCACGTGGTTCACCCAAATGTCTCTGGTGAGACAAGTGTCTGTGCAAGACAATGTGGAAGGTGAGAAAGGTAATGGGAGTGATAGAGGACAGTGTTGTAGGGTGAAAGGGGGAGTTAGGCTTATTCCACTTCTACATTCTACTTCTTTGACTATGCAGCCCGTCAAAGTGAAGGTTGCATTTTAACCCCAAAATGTGACTAAGATGCTCCTTGCTGGGAGCTGGTGGATTTTGTGTTCCCTTTCCCAAAGTGGGGGTTGTTACCAGGTGACAAATACCACAGCCCCAACAGCATCTCCAAAACAGATTTTTCCTTTGAAATGAGTCAGCATGGAACTGTTTATTTGAGGTGGTCCAGTTTTGCTTCCCACAGCAAATCCAGCAGGATAAGCTCTCCAGCTGCAGCTGTTGGTTCCACAGGAGCTTGACAGCCTTCTGGACCAGGCTGTCCAGTATCTGAGCATCAGCCAACACTGGGTAAAAGACAGCGCTTACACCTAAAAGAGCAATTTGAAATCAATGCGAATTAATTGCAGGGGTCATCAAATCAGGGAGGGTGCAATTTAGAGAAGAAAAATGGTCTTCAGGTTAAGGAACTTGCTGCCTTCTCAGGTGATTTCAGTTTAATTATTGCCTCAGCTCTTGACTTCCTAATTAAGTCAATTAATCTCTCCAGCTCCATGAACTCCATCTCTAGAAGAGGCTAATTGCAGCTGACTCTTTTGCCTCTTTGGTTTTTCAGTTCTTTGTGGTAAGAATTATTTGTTCCCATTTTATTTTCATGCAGCAGCTACCTTACTGGGATTTAGACCTCTGTAGCGGTAAAGATAAGCCGTAATACATGGCTAATTTTTAGTTGCTGGGAGAAGCTTACCTCAGTTGCCCGAGTGGAGAAAAAAATGGATGTTTCTGTGAGCCAAGTCTCATGGGTCTTAAAAAAACAGGTGTTGCTTTGGATGAAGAAACTTGGTTGTTGGTGCGTGGTGTGCAGCATAAACCTGTCAGATGTGCAGTCCTGACCTACGCACCGAGTAGTTAATGGTGTCCCTGCACGGTGCTGTGTTTCTGGAGGAACTAATGATCCAGGGGCAGATGATAAAAGTAATTACATGATGGTTACCAGTGCTGGTCTTCTCTGCGTGCTGGGCACTGAAAATTGATGAACAAGAATTATAGCTAAACAAATGCATACAGAAAAGTTGTGAATTTCTGCATTCCATTGCAGACATCTGAGAAAAGAGGGGAAAGTTAACCAGGCAAGAAGTCCATCCTCTGAAAAAGAAAGCAGACTCAAAACAATTTCATAAGCTTCTAAGTGCTTTTCTTCTCATTCTCAGTCCTGGGGTTGTCCTTATCTCCCTTCTGCATACAGAACTCTTCAGATTTTGCCCATTTTCCCAGCTCTCAGTCCTGCCTGCCCCAAACGTAAAGCTTTTGCTCAGCTTGAATGTTCAGTGGGAGTGAGAATAAAATGTAGCTTTTTCTTCCCCTCTCTTCTCCAACAGGTGTCTGCAGCTGGGAGTGGATTGGCTCTACCTTTGCCGTGTAGTAAGACTCAAGGCACAACAGTGGAGAGTGAGAGACTTTATCAAAGTCTGTTTCAACCCACAGGAACCTATGAGGACTCAGGGAGCTGGCCAGGACCAAGCCTAAACTGTTCTTACAGTGTGTTCAGGGTAGGTTAGACAAGATCAGTAATTGTCCCTTCCAGGAAATACCATTTGATGGAGGAGAGAGATAAACAGGGAGGCAACAGAGGAAGCATTTGGAGAAGAACAACTATCTGAAGCCAACACACTCCAAAACCACAGGGAGTTAAATATGGACAGAGCATATCTTTTATCTCTTTGACATTAAAAAATTCCATCTGGAGCTTTCATTACAAAGGGAAAGCTAGAGAGGAGGTGCTGTAGTCTTAGCTAGACAAATAGCCAACAATAAAAACTATATGTAAGCAGAGAATCTAACAGATGTGGAAAAGGGGATTAAGTAGTGAAGAAGATAACGTATTCCAGGTTACAAATTGTGAGGAAGGATTGCCAGACACCAAGCTGAGTGAGACTTGGCAAAAGGAATTAAAACAAATACAAAAACTTCTGGAACAAAGTGAATAAAAAGAGAACGTGGAGAGAAAGAATAAATAAGGTTGCTATGCAGTTAGCAGGGTGTCGAGGTGAAGGGTTATTTGTATATAGTCTCAGAATTGTAGTGGGTCTTGAGTCTGTGCTACCATGTTTTCTTCTCTCCTAAAGATAAGTCTTCGGAGGGATAGCAGAAATAAGGGGAAATAAGTTTAAATTATTATTTATAGAGTGTAATCAGAAGATATCCCCATGCTTAAATCTGTGAGGCAGCTGATCTGTATCCCAAATATGTGTCAGAAATCAGTTGTGTGACATTGCAACTCCATGAGGCAAGAATTTGATACATTTAATCAGAGAATGGTTCTGTAGGACAGAAACAGTAGCAAAGTTCATATTTTGGATAGGCAGTGCAGCACAATCTTGGTGGCTATTGGGCTGTTACCCTAACGTGGACAGACTAGAAGGCTTTCAAAAAACACTTCAAGAAAAATTATTTTAAATAAAGGCAAATTTGAGTAAAATACCTTGGTAAACTTGCCCTGCAGCCAAGGGCTTTATTTCCTTGCCAGCAGAATGGATTGGCTAGATAAGAGAGAAGGGAACATGCATATCTGGAAGTTATGTCTCATCTTTTCTTTCAGCCATTGGAGGCGCCTACAAGGTAGAGTTGTTCCATTTGGACTTTGTTAATACTTTGGACTTGACATTAGAGGGGCAATTATTAGCTCAATATAAGGAGAGGGCCAGTAACACAAGTACTGTTAGATTTTTTTAAAAATTGACTGAAAAGAAGATAAGGGAGATAAGCTTATTCTGAAAGGAGATCTGTGGGGCTAGAAGTTGCCAGCGTGGTCCCATTATGCTTCTGTGTTCTATTTCATGTTTTTCTGAATCATCAAGGCACTGAAAATAGGGGGTTGCTACTGAAATGTGCTGCTGGCATAGCCTTGGGAATGTCTTAATGGTCATATGGGGAATATTATGAAGTGGCACCTGCAGATATAGAAATGACAGGAAGTATAACACTACACAGAGTTGGGTGCTTAGTAGCCCACAACACTTAACTGCCTGTGTTTCTGTTACATGCTGAAGATCCACATTTGGAAGCAATAGAAGAAGATAAGACTTGAATGAATTAGTTGGGTGCAAGAACCTCAGATGCAGTTTAGCCTTGATAACAGCCTTGGTAACCTCCTGTCTGCCAACTATGGTGCTAGGAAATGCCAATTCCTTATCCAGAAGCCTGCTGGACACTTAAAACTGTTCCTAGGGTGGCCAAGGCAGAGAAAAGCATATCTAACAGGCTCTTACTGGGTTTAGGCTAAGGACATGAGGTTGTTGAGAGTGCTTAGGGCTTGCCATCAGTCTATTGGAGCAACAGCAAAAGAGGAAAAAGACTATGTCAGTTGTAGGGCAGTGTTAGCTCAAGGATAAATGGTGTATGGACTGGCCATGATGATGTTAACACTGGAAATCAATATTCCTCCTCACATGAGCAAGGAGGTGCATCAGTGGGAAGTTTAATGACAAGAATCCAAACTGTTTCCAAGATAGATAGTTTTTTTTGAGAGGGAGCCTATAAAGTGATCACTATAGTAGCTGGGACCCAGGCTCTCTACTCCTAGGGTTCTTTTCTGGAGTTTCAGAGGGTGACTGCAGGAATCTGGTGTGGAGTATGCTCTGTCTTATATGAGGCAGGAACAGATGTATCCTCTCCCCTGTTCAGATCCCAGTTGCATCCAGCCTTGCCTTCCAGACCTATGTTTCTCTGCTCTTGACCTAGCAGAGAGAGATGGTGAAACTTTCTCAACCACTCAAAAGCACTTCTTAGGCAGTCCAGGGGATTGCGGTTGTGCAGTTTCAGCTCTGTCTTTCAGCTGAACACCCACATAGATGTGGAATTCTGTAGAAATTGCATTTACTCATCTTTCACCCGAGGAGTGCAAGCACTGGTCTATGACTCCCAACAGATTTTTGAATCTCTGGAGCAAGGAAGTCTTCCTATAGATGAAAATCAAAACTACTCTAAAATGAGAGTATTCTTTTCAGATCTTCTCAGCTCCTATCCAAAGAGTTCTTTAAGGGTCATGAGTTGTCACAGCAGTCTCCAATAAGAGAGGGGTACAAACCTATTTTAAGGTGTGTGAACAGGCTAGTCAAGTGATAATGACCATGGTGCCTGGGACACCTAGGAACTGAATCGATGGCCCAGCAAGCTTCTTTGAGCAAAAGTTCCCTTTGAACAAGAGTTCCCTTCTGGTTTGGCTTCCAGGACTTCCTGATCTCAGTTCACTTCTCGTTGCCTTAGGATGATGTGAGAGCATTGTTCTGTGGCTCACAGACTTGTCCGTATCGGGGCAATCACTAGTACTGGCAACAGAGCCTTGCAGAAATCCCTTGCTGAATGACAGGGTCAGGAGCATTCACTCTGTGGGAGACTGGTAGGCTAATCCAGGCTTTCTCTAGTAAAGCTTTGCAGTCTGAGAACTTCATACAATGTTTTCTCACACTCGGGTTTTGTTTCATTTCCTCTGTCGTGCAGACACTATATTGATAAGTGAGTTTTGCAGTTCCCTCTACTGAAGTGATGAACTGTTGTTTTCTGGACCTGGAAAAATGTGGTGAAAGCAGCAGTCCAAATCACTGTCTCTAATTTTTTTTTCTTTTTAGATATTAGTTCCTGCAGAAGTCAGCAGCTTTTCTCCCAACTTCTCTTAGTAATGGTAAACACTTCTGAAGGATACATGAGGTGACTACTGGGCAACTGTGCCATATTTCTAAAGCACTCAGGGTGGATGAATCCAGGGATAAAGAGGGGCCATCTGGAACAGGGAGAGAACTTATGAAGCTGACTCAGGACATCTTTGGTTGTCTTTAGGCTCTGTCTTTGTCCAGAGGAGCAAAATTCCCCTCCTCGATACCCTGCCGAAGCCCTGTTTTCTCTGTACGATATATCTCGTCATGTCACGACGTCTGTCTGTGTGAATGATGGAACAGCAGTGTCATTATGATGTGTGATGTCAGTCTCTGACTAGGTATAGTTTAGAACCATTTGTGACAGGTTCCCTGCCCCTATCTCTTCTCCTGACATCAGTTACCCTGGTGACTTGGGCAAGTGGAAAGCTGTCTGTAAAACAGATTACTATTTAAGTGACTTTCTCAGGGTTGTCTCATTAGAAGTTCACACCCAGCAAGGAATCATTCCCCAAAATGCATTTTCAACATAATATATAGTGTTTCTGCCTCCAGTGAGGCTTTATCTAGAGCATCTCAAAATCAGTGGAAAAACTTCTATTGATTAAGCCTGTAGTGACAGAGTTTGAATTTGAAGGGCATGATGACAACCTTATCCATCATATTTTTTATATCTGCTTCTCTCTAAAGACTTCATTTTGAAATGCAACTTTCAGCTTGTGTGAAGTGATGAGCTATACCAGCAGAAAAATAGAACCCATGCTGATTTCATCCATAGAGTGGATAAAAAGTAATACGAAATCTAACTTCTCACTTCACTGACCCCATTGTCCCAAGATAGCTGCCTCAGCAATAATGTAGCTGACTTTAAAGTTGCTTTACTGTGATTTACTGTGATTTCTATTATTTCTTTTCTGAAATACGATTTTAAGGTGACATAGGAATAAATTGTGAACAAATTCACAAATTGCACGTACAGGCCACACTTCCTACTTCTGAAAACTGTTTCTACACATTGCTGGCATACCTGGGGAAGGTTGAAAATGCACTGCTGCATTCCTCTTTACATAGGTGCCCATAATGCCTTTATTAGGGCTTTTTCTGTGTTGGTTCTTTGATTCCTGTCATGTCTAGGGTTTCTACTTCTCACTGCTTGTCAGGTTTCTACTTCTCACTTCTTTCAGTGGGGAAAGAGTTTGCTAAATACTCTGGAAGCTTTGGCTTCAGCAAAGCTGAATAATTTTTGTCCTCTTTTTAGCCCTGTACTGCTTTGCATCTTCATCATCAAGTGAAACAAATGAGTCTGTTGGAGAGAGTGAAAGTATCTGCAATGATGCCTCTTTAATATCTCTTTTGTGAATGTCTTTCACCACCTACATTAATGTGTCCTTGCTCATGTTTCCTTTTCTTGTTCACTCTTGCAGGGCTGGAATCTGGCCACATCCCTGGTGCTGTGAACATACCCTTCCACTCATTCCTTTCCGAAACCGGACATGAGAAGAGTATCGAGGAGATCCAGGAAATATTCCGTGCGAAGAAAGTGGATCTCTCAAAGCCACTGACGGCCACGTGCCGCAAGGGTGTCACGGCGTGTCAGATTGCCTTGGCAGCCTTCCTATGTGGCAAGCAGGATGTGGCTGTTTATGATGGTTCCTGGTCAGAGTGGTTCCACCGTGCCCCACCACACTACAAGGTCTCTGAGGTGAAGCGCAGCAAGGCCTAGAGGGAGAGCTTTGTCTCGGGCAATGAGATCTAGCAGCTTTTTCCAGCCCAGAGTAAAGCGAAAGGGAGGAGATAGAAGTAACAGAAAAATATGCTGATTTGTATTTTGCAAATTTTTCTAAGAATGATCAGTAGATTTCTATTAATCTTTTGGGTTTTCATAATTAATAAAATCTAAGATGATGCATCTGTGAATACTTTGAACTCTTCTCTGTTACCTGTGACCTGCTTGTGCTGAGCAGGAAAAGCAGCTTTGCAACATGAAATAGAGTTACACACTTCCCTGGAGACTTACAGAAATTCCAGTGGCCTGATGAGAGCTCAGGTCAGGAGCAGGATGAATGAAAAGTCAGGGGCTAAAATATAGGACTGGGTGCTGGGCATGGGAGGGCCAAGCAATGGTTCTGTCAGTAGCTCAGTGTAAGACTTTTTGCCAGCCCACTCATGGGAGTGCCTTCCCCCATGCCAACCGGATCCAACCCATCAGGAGGTGTGTTGCCTTGCTGGGGTTCAGGTAAGGGACATCACAGAGGAACTTCCCAGCCCACTGATTATTACTCTCTTCTGGTTTTCCAGATAGGTAGCAGTGAGGTCCCAACAAGAAGGCTGCAAACAATCAAGAGGGACCTCAGGGTCTTGGGTCAACAGGTCAAGGGATCTGGGTCACAAGTTGTGTTCTGTTCTATCCTGTCAGTTGCAGGGAGTGATGGGACAAGAAACAGGGATGGCATATAGATGAATACCTGGCTTTGAGACCAGTGTTACCAGCATAATTTGGGGTTTTTTGATTATGGGTCAGTTTATACAACATGGAGCCTTCTGGCAACAAACAAGGCCCTCCTTGTTTCAAAGGGGAACAGGATCTTAGCTCAGAAGTTAGCAAGGCTTGTTGAGAGAGCTTTAAGCTAGAATGGAAGGGGGAAAGGGACAAAACCAAGCTTTCCAATGATAAGCAATGAGGTGGCATGCCAAAACTTTAGGAACTGAGTGCTCGTAACATCCCTCAATCTGCTCCATGAGATGTCAGCTACAACGAAGCACACTCAAAATGTTTTGACCAATGCACACAGCATGAGGAACACACAAGCAGCTTGAAGCTTTGGCCCAGTCCCAGAGATATGGTATCACTGGCATAAATGAAACTTGGAAGATGGGTCCTGTGACTGGGCTGCCACGTTGGACGTTTACAGGCTCTTCAGGAGGGATAGGCAGGGCAGGCGAGGTTGAATATGAGCCAGCAGTGCCCTGGCAGCCAGGAGGGCCAACCGTGTCCTGGGGGCCCTCAGGCACAGCAACGCCAGCCGGTCGAGGGAGGGGATTGTCCCATTCTGATCTGCTCTGGGGCTTCCTCACCTTGAATATTGCGTGCAGTTTTGGACATCGAGAATGTTAAGGAGCATCCAAAGGAGGGCAACAAAGATGGTGAAGGGTCTAGAGGGCAAGCCTTATGAGGATTGGCTGAGATCACTTGGCTTGTTCAGCCTGGAGTCTACAACTTTATCTTGAGGGGAAATGGAAGGGCAGGCACTGATCTCCTCTCTGGTGACCAGTGACAGGACCTGAGGGAATGGCATGAAGCCATGTCAGGGGAGGTTTAGGTTAGATATTAAGGAAAGGTTCTTTGCCCAGAGGGTGATCCGTCACTGGAACAGGCTCCCCAGGGAAGTAGTTCTGGCACCAAGTCTGACAGAGTTCCAGAGCGTTTGGACAACATTTTCAAGTACATGGTGTGATTGTAGGCGCTGTCCTGTGCAGAGCCAGGAATTGGACTTCAGCAATCCTATTGGGTCCCTTCCAACTCAGGTTATTCTACAATTCTATGATTCTCCTTCCTCTCTGATGAGGGTCAGGAGCTCATGTGAAGCATTTGGAGATGCTAAAAGATCCAGTTCTGCTGGATCAACAGTCTTGTTGATTATTGTGACTGTTTTAGGAAAGTCTCCAAGAAATCCTGTGTGATGTGAACCTCTGGGCACAGGTATTTCTTGAGACATGGACCTTTTACTCTGCTCCTTGTTTGTTTTTTCAATCAGCAAGGAAACCCCTTCTCTACACCATGTGGATTCTTTTTCCCATGGAGATGGAGCTCATAGCTCATAGAAGGAGGGAGCGCTGTTCCCCAGCAACCATCTCCACTCTTCAGCCTTCATCCCACCTCTATACCTGGGCTTCAGCAAGACCTGCCTGCCTTAGAAATCACTGTGACATCACCAGGGATCATGGACCAGGTGAGATAGGTAGTTACAGCTTTGCCTCTTGGTAAATCATGGATATTTTCATAAAAAAAAAAAAAAATCCAATCTCATTTTGACATTCATGGGGCTCCTCAGGTCTGGAAAGTCAATGAAACCTCCTTATATTTTGGAGACTCAGTCAGATGTGGAAGGCATATGAAACCACTCTTGGCCACACCTGGTGGCTGGTGAGAATGGCCAGTTCCTACACCTGTCTGAGATGGTTAGTTTTCTGCCTCGAAAGACAGCTCCCTCTTTCCCCCAAGGCTGCATGTCAAGAAGGTCAGAGTATTAGGCTATGCTAAATCTTTCATTCAGAAAAGAAAGATCAAGTTTAATCATTTTTAGCTCTTTGATCAAGATATGTCTTTTCTGATTGATTGTCTATTTTCCGTCACAGAATTGGCTTAGGAAAGGAATAAGACATACTTCTTGTGACTTCTGTTAGCGAGGAGGATGGTAAAATAGCCTGAAAGTCCTTGGCATCAAGATGTAGGAGTCTGAGCGATGCTTTGACTTTGGACCCTTAGGGTCAGAAGTAAAACAAACAAGAAGTGTGACAATAACATCATATACAGTAACAAACAAGAAGCGTGACAATAACATCATATACAGTTACAAACAAGAAAGTAGTAACAGTTGCAGGCTTCAGTGTCATTTTGTCCACCCTTAACTGGGGAAAGTTACTGATGAATGTGGTTTGAGAAATGGACACATTGCCTCACTACACAGAAATTCTGCTTTGTTGGAAGAAATCAAAGAAGAGGAGGAATTTCTACATCAGCAGACTGTAAAGTTCTTTCCACTGAATATAATAATAATAACAAACAGTCCTGTTTTTGTTTTAAAGTAGGAGGTGGGAGTTAGCACAGCAGTTTATTTAGCAGCACAGATTCCTGCACTTTGATCATGTGTAACTGTTTGGCTCTTTAAAAAGAATCAAGAGTGATAGAGAAAAGAAGCAGATTGTGCCCTGTGAGTCAGGACTGGTTTCCTCTCTTCATCTCTTGTGGCCCTGTTCTTTTTGTGGAAGAGGATCTATCCCTTAATGCCTTTGCAGAGCATGCAGCATTGACTCCTGGAGTCTGACTAGTTCAGTAACTTCAGCTTCAAGATCCCAATATTGTATAAGACATGCTGCTGCAAAGAACTGGCACAGTGTAAAATCCAAGCTAGTTTTAGGGGTTCTAGTCAGCCCTGGTGAAGCATTAGGCTTCCTACCCCACTGGCTGGTGTCTTCATTCTAACGACTGCCTCAAGAGCAGAAGGTAAGGCTGTATATCGTGTCCTGAGCTAATCTGACAAATCCAAATGTACTGTTTGTATGATCCTACCTGATCCAGATCCCATTTGTACTCCTGCCAGTGCCAGCACTCACAATTACCATATTTATCACCATGGGCCATGGCTTCAGTTTTAACTGAGGGAGACTCAAGGACTGACCCAGGCGTCAGGGATTAGTCATAGCTCAGAGAGCTATGCAGGGGTGGAAATGCCAGGAGTTTGCTGCACTTTGGAAATGTGGAATGACAGTGTTCCCTGTGGTTTGTGTTTTCAGCAACATCAAGCTCAGTGCAATGCAAGTGTAGACACGGGACAGAAAAGACTCACTGACTGTACTGAAATGACAAAAAACTCCTTGGACTGGACATCTCTTTCAGATTACGAGCAGCTGGGTTACAACCTGAGATCAAATCTCTTCCAAGGTGAGGGGACACACATGCCTGACCTTCAAAGCTGGTTCCATCTACGCTTTGCCAGGGCTCAGGGCAGCTACGTTGCTATGTGCAGGCATCTGACTGTAGGTGGTACTCATTTTCTCCTCTTATTCCTTCTATCCACAGTCACTGCTTTTTCAGACTGTGGTACTTGAGGAAACGGAATCTAGATCCTCCCATTCTATTCTATGTATCCTATCCCTTTCTTTGCATTCATTCTTTTTTTTCCAAGGTGTGAAAAACAAACGAGAGTCATGACTATTGTCCTCCATGTTCGGAGCTGTCAAAATGGACACCATTTGCAATTCAGTGTCCCCTCTCATCTCCAGTCTCTAGTTATCTCCAGGTCCAGTATTGACTTTATTTTTCTTCTAGACCTTTAGACATGTGGGGCTCTGAAATATCTTGCCCAAACCTCTGTTTCCGAGGTTCCCCAGGATCCCTCCATCAAAAAAAATATTGGAAACTGAGCATTCATCCCATTTCGTTACCGTGATATCCAAGAAACTCTGAAATAATTTTCTGTGATTCTAGTTTCCCATGTACCAGCATAAGACACATTCCTTTTTCTTGTACAGTATGTTCCATGTCAAGACCTTGCTGGGTATTGAAGACTGCATTGTCCTCGGTTTGTGTAGTCACACAGAAAGGAAGGACATCTTTCCTCAGGGAGCTCAAAACCATTTATTGTCAAGAAAAAGGACGGTGAAGTGGAAAGGATGAGAGATTAAAATAAAGCCCCCTCGTGGCTAAAAGTCAAGAGGAGATGAATAGAGAAGTCACAGCTGGGAATTATTTGTCAAGATTTGTGGCAGAAAAAGGAGATCAAGAAGGCTTGGAGTGTTAAGATGGTGGGTTTTTTGTGGGGTTCTGCTGCTGAGTAGGAAGCTACTCACGTGAATGGGGAGATTCAACATGAGGTAAGTGGCACTTGACTAAAGAAAGGGCACCGGGATACAAATAAAGACGATATCTTACAGATATCTTATGAGATGTGTGTATCTCATACTTGAGGATGAAAAGCAGATAAGCTGGCAAACACAAGCTCCCTCCTGGGTGATGGTGAAGCTATTGTTCAGCACCTTCTCACAGGCCTGATCAAAGGTGCTGCAGTCAACACATGCCTTTTCTTTAGCACTTGAAACTGCTGGTGTTGGTCCCCTGATCAATTCCAGGAGTGCAGTAGGGTGATTTCTGCACACAATTCCTTATTTGCTGTTCCTTGCAGGTGGCCCACTGAAGACCCGAAGCTTGATGAGAGATTCCTACACCCCTGATATAATTAAGAAGGCAATCAGAGATCCCAATAATTGGCATGGAAGGAGGATTTATGAGCTAGGTATGGCTTCTGCAGGAAAAGTATATTGCTGAATTTCTTAGATGGGTGCTTCTTCTGTCAAGGACAATGGATGGGTTTGGGCAAAGTCTAAAGGTGAGTAAAAATTGGCATTGTAAGAAGAGAGGAGCTCTACCGCTAGAGTAATCCTTGGGGTATAATAGCACTAGGAAGGAGGCTGTATCTGAACTATGATTTGCCTTCTTTACAGGGAGGTGGTATGAGAAATATTTCCTAGATCTTAACGTGCAGAAAGCAATGAAGGACAAATACGGGGATAAAAAAGGCAAGCCTTAGAAGATGAAGTGCATTCAGCAAAAGGGATCTTCTTCCTCAACCATCTAATAAACCTCCATGTAAAACCTGAACCCATTGCTTGATAACTGTCAACAGCAGGTTTGTTGCTGATTCTCTGTTGCCCTCTCTATTAGACTGTCTCCGGGGAGAGCAATGCATGATTAATCTGAATATGCATGCAAAAAAACCCAAAATACTTTGTTGGCCACTAGTACAGCAGGAATGATTAGTGTGTGAGGCACATATCCTTGCTGAGGGATATGATGGTGTGAGAAGCCCATACAGAAATTCATCTACTCAGCACCTAAGTTGGAGTAGGACCTGTGAGCAGTGTGAGAGGGTAGAAGGGGTCCGTGTGTCTGCATGAGAAAACTCATGTTTGCCAGAAGATTTGTGATACTTGGACAGCTGCCCCAGCAGTCCGGAGAGAAATACAGAGGATACACTGGGAACAAACCAGGGTTGCCCAAGGACCTGAATGTGATCTTCCTCTCTCACTGAAGACTATAAATCTCCCTCACAGGAAAGCTTCAGATCTCTGTGTATAGAGCAGGTAAACACACCAGAAGAACCAGCTCCCTATTGATACTTCCAAGGTGAATTCAGGCTCTCTTGCCAGAAAGGCACCAAACCATGTCCACTTAATAACCTGGGCACGGCTCTGTGTGATTGGCACCCTATGAGGGGTAGGCAAGGAGGGTTTTCTGCACACCATTCTAGTTCTGTTGTTATATCTGTCACATGGAGGATTTCAGGGAAAGCTCTTGCCCTGGCAGGAAGCAGCAGTAATGTGTGAAAGCAAATGGAAATTCGCCCGAGAAGAGTAGGCATCAGTGCATTCACTAAAGCCCATACTGCTTGCAGGCCAAGCAAGTGAAAAACCGAACAACAGCTTATCCCACCTAAAGGGAACAGGAAAACTGCAAGAAGCCCAGGATTTCTCCATCTGCCAATCACCCCACAATGCGCACTGACCCTTATTGAAGCTCTCATAAGCTCTAGTTGTCCCTGACAGCCCTTTCCCTAACTCAAAGATAAATGTCTCTCAGAGAGAAACACATGTCCACCATTCAGTCTGTACAACCTGAAGTTCAAGAGTGTATCTGGACAGTAAGCAAGGACCACCCAAGGGCTTGAATGATACAGGACATGCAGGGTCATTAGAGCTTCCTGATGTGTTTTTCTCACAAGCTTAATGGTCCTTATTGCAGGATTCTGCCTTCCAGCTCCAAAGTGTAGCAGTTTGGTGCGGCAATCACAAAGTACATTTCTGGGAATAGCGATGCCCTGATCTTTCCCATCTGGTCCTAAGCTTTCCCCATTTTAAAAGACTGATGCTTTGCTCCCCGATACGAACTGTTTTGGGACCGAATTAGGATTGTTATTTCACCGTTGGCTGATGATTAGATAACAGTATGCTGACTTTGTTAAAGTAGTGAAGGAGGTTAAAATTTAACTAATGTAATAATCAAGCGATAATCATTTTCCACCAGCAGTAATTAACCATTTGGACTTCTGATAGTTCCAGGCACATGTCCAAGTCTTTGAAATTAAGGAGACTGGCCAAATGGCAGCTTGTAGAAGCCTCCCTGTGGGTTTGCTTTGTACATAAGTACTAAGTGGCTCCTGCCTGAGCATACACCCCACTAGCTCAGGCTGAAAAGTGCAGCTCTGTAGGAACAGCCTGTTCTCTGTGTTGCAATCAGCTCTGATGGCCAATATAACTCCAGGTACATAATAAATGCTGTCTTCTGAGACCACAGCAGGACTTAATCCAGAAAACATGGAGCTGAGCAGAAATCTAGTGATGTATTTTGGCATGCTGGAAGCAAGCAGTTCAGGGCAAAAGCAGCCAATACACAACACGTAATGTGGGATGAATCTGCATGTAGAATTACAGAATTACATTAAAAATGCCTATTAGCCATTAGAAATAGGCACTAGGGCAGGCAGACTGCAGGATTATGATACAGCTTGAAGTAAATGCCCTTTTGCTATCTGTGAAGGGCTCATAAAGAGACTGGATCAGAAGGGAAATGGACTGAAATGTCCTGTTGACGCACCACTTTGCACAAACTGTGTATTTCCTCTTGCAGTGGAAATGAAGTCACTTAGTATGCTTTTTACAAATTAAAATATTTTATAAGTACTTAAATAGTATCAAATACTTGGCATTGTATAATGCACTCAAATGGTGACAGCCGTTTGATGACAAATGAACATCCATGTGGTGATTCCTCCTTAATTTTCTTTGCTTTGCCAGCTGTTACAGGTCAGCCAGGGACAAACACTTCTAGACAGGTGGCACACTAAAAGCTGCAGAGATAGCTGAGATGATGGTTTTCAGTGAGGCAGCACAGCCACTGGGAACAGTCAATACCTGAAGCCTTTGAGTGCTGAACAGACAAATTTAGCCAGAACCTTGGTCTGGACCATTGCCCTGTGTGCACTCTGTGTTGACTACAGTGCTTTAGCTACCTGAACATGTGTAGTCAAAGCCAGCTTTGGAATCTCCAAGTATCACGCCATATGCAGTTAGACAAGAATAGAGCCAAAATAAGTGCTCACTGCAGCTGAAACCTCTCTTCTACCCATTCTTCTGATCTCAGAAGTTCATTCCTTCTTGTTTGCTTCGTGCTGGTGTTGACACTTCCCTACCCACCCTGTGAACTGAGCCAACTTGATAAACCACCAGAAAATCAATACAGAAGAAAACAAAAAAAACCAAACACGAAGTTAATAGGTTAACAAATAAAATTTTCTAAGCAAAGACCTTGTTGCAGACAAAGTGATGCAGATGTTGGGGAAGGGGAGTGGAAAGACAGTGGAGGGGGAAATGGCCTTTCCCTGCCTTTCTAACGCAGTGAGAAATTAATTTGTCTCTGCTATTTTGTCTCACTGGACTCAGTGCTCTGCAACACAGATAGCCTGTATTTAAGTGATTTTACACGTTCTGATCATTGGGTGGCAGCTCTGAGCCAGTGTTTTTATCTGACGGGGCAGAAATTGGGGAAAAAAAGTGAGATTTTCTCTGGTTTAGCTAAGCCATTCAACAGAATTGTTATTTAAGAACTGTTTTGATCATCTATAAACAGTTAATGCACTTGAAATAAAGATAATTAAACTATAAAGATTTGAAACAGAAGGGGTCAATTGCATCTAAGCTTCTGCAGCACTCTCCTCATTACTTTTTCTTGCAGTAGTGGCTGTTTCCAAGTTATGCATCCCTTCAGTTGAAGCACAGACTATTTGGCAGGCTATCACTTTTAATAAAGATTTCCTGTTCTCCAAACAATTTTTTTTTTTCTTTTCATTTAACCCTCTAACCTCTGCCTATCTCATGTTATCCTGAACAATTTCAACCTTTGGTATCTCCACTGTGAATGACTTTGAATAGCTCATATAAAGAGATGGTGACAACTATAAGAACAGAAGACAGTCACTGCAAAAAACTCTGATAAGAGTCTTCAGCCTGCTATTCAGTTCAATCCTTTGTGCTGTAAAGCTTGCACAGAAGTAAAACTTAAATTCAGAGCTACATCTATCCTGAGGTAAGCCCAGTATTCCTAAAAGAATGGAGTACTTACTGCTGATCCTGCCTATAATGGGATAAAAGAGAAATCCAGCACTGCTTGAAGTGTCAAGAGATCACAACAAAAAGGGAGCAAGTGAATTGACTTCAGTGGATTTCACTCTCGAGCACTGGGTTTAAAATACAATCATGTCTTATGTTTGAAGGTATTCAAAACACTTATTCATCAAGAGAGAATGGTGATTTGAGGGTTAGGAATTACCAGTGTAGTTCCCCTTGGGAGTGGTAGTGCAAAGGAGCTGTGGAGCAAGAAAGTTAAAAAATGAAAACAAAACTCAAATAGTGTGCTCCTCATGGTTCACTTTGAATTTTATTTGCCACAGACTCCTCTCTGACAGAGCCAAGGCTTCATGGACTGAAGCTGCCAAAAGCAGTGACCTGGTAGGAGAGGTGGGATCACTGCACTTGGAAACAACATCTCCATACAGATGGAGAATGGGCACTCTCAGCTCTGGGCAAAATGGGTGAGGGCTACATTACCAAGAAGCTTTCAGGTTCTACTTCTGATTTTAGTAAGCAGGCCTACTAATTTTTATGCTGAGTTGCTATTTTACCCCTTTTAGTAACATTCCTTTTTGTTTAAACCCTTGGATTCATTGCTCCTGAGCAGGAAAACTGATTATCCAAGCTCATTATGTGCCCAAGCAAAATCATTTTCTTTTCCTATAACCTGAGAGCTTTGAACTGAAATTGATTAACTATTTTTAGAAAGAAGCCTTAGCTAAATCTGGCTTCTTGCACTGCCAGTCTCACCTATCAGAGGAGTGCAAAACAAGCCTATCTAAATGCAGGTGCATGGAAATTACGACCTGTCCCGTTTATCAAATGCATTAATATAACTAAGAAAGATATAGGTTTCCTTGAGATCTTTCACCGTGTTGGATTAGAATCAAGAGAGGAGAGGTAGCATTTGTGGAAAGAAAATGTTATTATGATGGTGTCATTTTTCAAGTTTTTCGTTTGGTTGTCTGAGACATCTACAACTCCAGAAGGCTTTTCTGAATCTCAAAGCTGGCTACTTTCCTTTTCCAACAGCTTTCTTAGGGTTTTGAAGACCTGAAAGATCTCAATATTCTGTGCATTTTCTTCCTTGCCCCTGAGGGATCCACTATCATGTGCAGGCTCTCTGATCATTTAAATGGATTTACGAAACTTATTTACTTGGCGTGATGGGTTGACTATGGCTGGCCTCCAGATGCCATATATTCTCACCCCTCTCTCCCAGTTGTGCAGCAGTTTTTACCCTTTCTTATATATGTTGTCAGAGAGATGCTACCAAGCCACTCTCTCACTTGCCCTCCTCAACTGGACAGAGGGAGAGAAAAACTGTTACAGTCCTGCCAGGATTAAATATGGCTACGAAGATCTCCAATAGAGGTTCTTCTGGGAAAAAAAAGTACTCCTTTTCAAAAAACATGTAAGGATATTTTTGTGGGTTCAGTATGTCTGTGGGGTCTTGAAGGGCCTCCAAACACATCC